TAGCAATTCTACGGTAATTTGCTAAGGGAAATTGATGTTATTTCAGCCTAAATGCCTTTTATTTGGACCCATACATAAATTCAGTAATCAACTAAATTTTCAATAGTCACCAAAAATATCCATTATTACCGTCCCAATGACGCGTACATCTAGAAAAAATTGATAAATAGCAGATTTAGAAACATAGGCCAACATTAGAGCCATTTTCCCTATATCAGGACTTTTCCCATTTTTAAAAATTGGGATTTAAAATAGTTCCTTCCAAATTGGAGGAAGAACACCGGACTCCAGAGAGGAATTCAATAGCCAAAATAAAGGTTTTTCTAGCTCCTTTGAAAGTGACTTTAGAGAAATATGTTGTAAACCATCTGGTCCATCACCCTTTGAAGCATCAAAGTTTAAAGAGCACGAATGATTTCATCGACGGATAAATTATCAACTGTAATGTCCATCATTGGCTCTTGGAGATATAAAAAATATGGATATTCTCGCCCGATCTCATCAAGAGTTGCATACATGTCCTGAAAAAACCGCAAATAAGTTACTGATCTCATTAGGCGTGTTTCCAGTCCAGTTGTTGAATTGCATTTTTGATGGACAGCTCCTTGATTTATGTTTGTCTTTAGCAAACTTAAAATATGATTTTGGGTTTGACTTAATGATATTTTCTAACTGTATATTGTGTTCTTCATATGCAGTTTTTATCTCTAGATTCAGCTGATCACATAAGGTCAGATAATATGTAATATTTTCATCGTTATTTTTTTCTCTTAAAAACCATTTTAGCTATTTGATTTTTATTTCTTAGTTAGAAAATCTGTCTATTATTGATGCTTTTGTATTTTTTCCCTTTCTTCGCTTCATTTGCACTGTCTGCTCTATAGAGTATTTAAAGTACCATACATAATTTGAAAGAATGCATCAACTGCTTGTTCTATGTTACAATTACGTAGAAGAGGTTGCCAGTCTATGCAGTCCAATTTTTTTTATTAGTCCATTTTATTAGACAAATTATTATCCAACATTTTTTTCATGTATGAATATAGAATATTCAATTGCATAGGAACACTTCTGTTGGGAATTTGCCAACTTACACAGGGAGATTTTCAATACAATAATATTAGAACTACCGAAGACGTGGGATTTACGTTCATGAATTATATTCCTGGAAAAAGGTTCAGGAAGGATGTAACGTTAGTGAACATGTTTGCATCTTAATATTAGTCCATTAGTAATTTCCTTTTGTAACTTACGTTTAGTCCCGTTGTGCTACACTTGCAAGCGATCGGAATTACGGGTCGCACGAGATCGTCTCGTTTTGTCGGTGGTCGTCGTAACAGGCAATCTAGCAAACAATTTATCCGTACAGAATCCTATAAACCGTACTAAAGCAATCTAGATTTAAGTATTTACTTAGTATTTTAGATTATAAATTTTACTTTCACTGTAGGTTTAGGATGTAAGTAGATTTTAGGTTATGACAAGTTCACTAGTTTTTATCAAACACTATGGAAAAGGTATTAATTGTAAATGATAATTTTAACGAATTTTAGAAATAGAATTATACCTAGCTGACTAGTAATTTAATTTAATGACTTGAACTTTCAACGGAAAAAAGTAACTAAATTTAGACCGCAAACTCATTGATGCCGCACGTTAAATTGTTGTTTTATGTTTTTGTTTTTTGCCTACTATCAATTGTTTATCCATGACGTTTGCCCAACGTCCAAGGTGCGCATCTGCGCCAGGGGCGTACTCAACAACTTCATTTTCTCAGAGTGGAGTTGGGAACTCAGATATGACAAAATCATCAGCCATAGTCAATATCAAATCTTAATAACTGTTATTTTGATTTTTGATTTAAATATCTTGATTTAGTCCAATTGCTGCACATTTGTCGAACAGAATATGAAGAGTCTCATTTTCCCCTGCAATCAGAATCAAAAAGGATTCAACAATAAAATTAACTGCACGTTGATTAAAATCTCCGTATATGTGAACATTTGCTTCAGCCGAAAATCCTGAAATAATGTTATCTGCCAAACTAAAAAAGCAATCGAATGATTCTTTTTTGCCTGTTTTGAAGGAAAATAAACTGCTGCAAAAATGTGAATTTGATCTCCAATACAAAATTTAACCCAAACATGGTCGAACTCCCTACATTTGCAAGGTGGAATGGGGAAAAATGCACTACAATAATGGGGCAGTATGACTCTCATTGCCTACTTATAAATGATCATAACCAATTGAGGCAGATGAACGCCTTCGTTTTTGACTGCCTCCCGTTCCGAACGTAGTTGTGCAAAGGTCTAAGACCTCTGAAAAGACTTCGGAACGTTTTGGACCATTTCTGAAGAAAGAGTAAAACTTAAACGAAGCTTTTTCAGTAAAGGTTCATGTTGTCTCCAACTTAGGAGAGCGTTTTGTCCCAAATGTATAAAGAAAATGTTTTTTTTATCATAAAATAGAAATACATAATAAAACTTAGCGGTATTTTATCAGAAAGATGTAGCTCTAACCTCAGTCAAGTGAGTAATCTCTTTCACCGACGCTTAATATGGTTTTAGCTTTTATTTACATTATCTGATAACATAGAGAACTGCATTTTTTTTTAATATTATAGTCACTTTAACTCTCTTGGGTCATTCGTGACTTGTCCGGGGGTGTGATTTGAACTCGTGACTTTGGCGTGAGAGGTATGGATGCTTACCACTACGCCGGGGTCGGTATCAAATTGACATATCAGTATCAGAGAAGCAAACATAGATTTAACTTGTTGGGTAGCTACTTTGCTGTAAAAATGTATTTTAGGCTCTGTCGGTAGCACAAAGATGAGCAACAGAACGGCGATGATGAGGTATGATGCAGGTAAGTATCAACTTTCCCTATCTTTCCAGGTTGCGGTTTTCGTTCAGGTAAGTTCAATAATTTCACTAACACTTTCTTCTCCCTTTCACGTATCCACTACTATTTATTACTAACTTTTCCTAATAATACATCCAGTTCACTTTTTATTCATACAAAATTCTCTAGCAATCAATTCTTCACCTTGTTTACGTTTCACAACGATGACGATTCAGCAAGCAAGAGCCCACACCAACGACGAATCGAGCTTTTTATATCCGAGGGGTGATCGGAAGTAATTTTTCCACCATGTTGCCATTTCCGAAGGGCCGTTAACGTCATCCTTCAATGGTTGTCGGAGTCGGTCGACCTATCAATGTTCGAGGGGATCGGTGGTGTCCACGTTGCAGGTTGACATGTAGGTGGTTCTGCGATGATCTTTCGTGATGAATAATGATGATGCACGAACAGGCTCAAAACGAAGGAAGTGCATCTTTTTCCAACGGTGCATGCTACCCCTGGTACTCCTTCGCTGAATACTGCATAAAAAATACTTCGTAAACAGAGGTTTTAGTGTTCCAGTGTTTTCTTCAACTGGTAGATTAACATAACGACCAACTTTTCCTAATTAATATTATAGTGCGGAAATGTTACTAATGCGCACTCAAGACTTGTTTGCACGTTACTTTACAGATATAAATAATTAAAATACAAAGGGTATTTTTAAAAATTGGTAGTTGGATAATTACGACTCGGGCTGAAAAAAATCTTCATTTTGCAACCGGGCAACAGTGGGTGGGTAGATCACCTTTTTGTGGTACGTTACGGGATGTTAGATCTACCACCGATTCCTACTCTTGACTACTTCAAACTACGGGAACAGGATTTTTCAGTAATCAAAGGAACACATCTTAGTCCTTGTTACTTTTTATGCCTTGTTGATAGTGATAAGTTCTCGGGTTGCCTGGACCGAGGATGATCTTGAAACAAGGAAACAATGAGTTTGTGAGTTCCCTAGTTTGAAGTGGTTAAGACTAGGGTTCTGATGCATGGTCACTATCGGTGTAATTCTTTAATTTTGTTGCTAAGGAATCCAATTTTGGCTGACAAAAGGGCCGCGCCTTTAGAGGGTGCTCTCACTCTTCGAAAGGTATAAATAGCGGAACCTTTCAATTAGAATTGATTCCTAGCGATGAAGGCAAGAATGACAACTGTATCTAATCCGAATACTTCATCATTTCTCAATAGTGATGAAGTAATACGACAGGTACTTAACTAAGGACAATGGATAAACTGCAATAGATCAATTACTGGTCGCAGTAGTTTTATGTCTCGAACAGAGGATAAATAACAATTTCATATCTTACATGAAAGAACATCTTTAGATTAACTTATATCAGCCTTCCTTACGGCTGAATTCATTTATTTAAATTAAGTTAGTTTATTTTCAGTTCTTCGAACAAAGAACATCTTCAGATTTATTTTAGATTGATTTATGTTTTACAGCCTTCATTCAGACTGTATCTATAGTTTCTAAGTATTTATTAATGTTAACTTTTAGCGCTTCGATATTGGAACGTTATAAGATTTATGTTTTAATCAGTGGAGTGAGGAGTGGTTGGGACATGTGGGACATGTCCTATGAACAAAAATACCTGGGTGGGACAGTTATTTGTCCCACCCACGATTTTATAGAGAACATAGTTAAAAACCCTAATTTCTACTCCAATGATAAAATCTGACCCTTCTTACTAATAGAAATTCCGACTTAAGTGCTCATAGGATCAGAACAGATAGATAAATTATCATGTGATTTAAGGTAACGCATGATGGATTTTGGCCCTGCTCAAAATTGGATGTGGACAGTATTGTTATGTGCTCTGAATATTACTACCATTAAACTGGTTTTTGAATTGTCATGTCATTCGATGTGTAAGATTATGGGTTTTTAATTATTTTCATTGTGAAATGCCATTGGTTCGGATCAATCACGGAATAGCAACCATTGATGTAGGCAGTCAGTCTAAGCTAAGCTATTTTTAATGTGAACAGGCATTCTCCACCAGATGCTTCATGAAACTGCTTGAATATATTTGTTGCATTTTAGTTTTTCAATTCATAATATTAACTCTCATATTTCCTCTCCTTGTTTACAGGTTTCTTCATCAGTCAACACATCCTGCCGGTAGCCACCGCAAACAGTGGCTCCGCAGAAGCAAGCCTCCGATTGCTAGATGACAGTGAGCTGGATTTGCTGGACATTGAGCACCAGCATTCGCGAAACGATAGAACCACCTCCTCGTCCTTAGCATCCTTACCCGCATCGCAACAACAGCCCCACGAGTCGTCCTTTACCGCCAGCCGGGGCAACGCTAGGATAAACAATAATCATAAGATAAATTTAGTGTCTTATACAGCGAATCTAGATAATATTTTGAACAGTCTAGAAGACGATGAAGAGGACGATGACGATGACGTCGATGAACGGCGATTCGGGATGCAGGACCGTCGAATCGTCACCGGTGCCAAACTGTACGAACGGAACCACGAGGCCAACGTGCAGCACGACGCGGCTGCTCAGCCGGTACGACACCGGTTGTTAGTTAATCAAATTGTCCAAAAGTACTACCCCAACCACCGTCGCCACAGGAGGTCGCTGCTGCTGCGAAGATCGGCACGAAGCTCCAATCTTGGCTCGGACTCTAGTGCACTCAAGCACCAAGAAGTAGCTATTTCATTCTCCTCCACCACACTGTCTCCCAGTTCTTCTTCTTCTTCTACATCTTCACCACCGTCGTCGGTGTCACGGCAGGTGACACGGACTGAACCTGTTGTACATGATCCTTCCAACCAGAGTAGTAGTAATTACGAAAACAGTGAATACGACAAACCAGAAAAGAATGGGAAGATGGCTGTGAAAAATATTATTAGGAGTAATAATAGTGAACATAATTTCGTAAGAAACTTGACGCTCGCTAATGCTGAGCATTCATCATCCGACAAGAGCCGAGCGGTGGGAAAGGCCACTAGCAAGAGAAAAAGCAATGCAGCAGCTGCTCCGTTGTTACCCGACCCAAAAAGGCAAGATGCTGTACAGGAAGTAGAGCACCAGAAGGAAGCCAAATCGGCAACCGAGCTGGGTGGTGCTGGCGGGGATCCCACCCACTCCAGCCCAAAGACTAATACATCAACCCAGAGAGCAGTTACATCAACACAAACATCGTCACCAACGTCAGTGGCAGCAGTGGAAGTGGCACCTCCGGAGTTGGAATCCGTTGTCGAGCGAACAATAACACCACGGGAACATTTGCCGCAAAATAGCTACAGTGCCATTAATGTCGACAGTTTCAATTTGCTCGACGATAGCGTTTATGTCAGCAACAGTAGCAGTAGCAGCAGCAGCATCAAAACGATGACGGCAACCAACCACGGTGATGGCTCTTACTCTACACCCACTACCAAGCCACACGAGAGCTTGAACAGTAATAACATATTTGCTAGTGAAAACTTTGATGAGCAAATTATTTTCCTCAACGGTGGTGATTTGCTCGAAGCCAGCCCGGAGCAGTACGACATGCGGCAGTTTGGTAAAGTGGAGCGGGATGTCAAAATGGGTGACTTGAGAAACATGGATCCATTTCTGAATGACGAACCCGTTGCACTTGCGCTGAGACCGATTATCCGGGGCCCAACGGATGAACACACCGAGGACAATGTGGTGGTAATCTATGCAGAACAACATGAAACAGTGACGATGGCCTGTGAGGTCGATGCGGACATTACCTCCAGCGTGTGGCTCAAGGATGGTCAAATGGTGCACATAATGGATAAAAAGTCCCGAGCCGATAATGTGAGATTTATCAGAGAGTCACATGGTGGCGTCACCATCTCCAATGTCATGCTCGAGGACGATGGAGTATGGCAGTGCGAGGCGGAGAACGCTCGGGGATTCTTCTTCAACGGGCGACCGATTAAGTTGGTTGTGCTAGGTGAGTAACTGTTGCCAATTATCAAACTCTACGCATAACTTAATCCAAACAGCAAACATATCAACTAGAACAAGACGTAGATTCCTGATACTACCATCATCGTTTTTCCATGCAGTTCTGCATCAGTATACTACTTTCAACAAATAGCTACGTTTAGATCATCCGGTTCTTGACAAAAGCTGCAATAAGCTTCTTCCCGATGAGCCAATCCCGTTCAATCAGTAATCCCAAAACGTGCAAATCGAACCCAACAACACCCGCCCCGAAATCGATTGGAAAGTAGAAAACTAATCTTTTCCTTCCTCCGGTATCGAACGCAGAGGAGCCATTGTGATCCCCCCCCCCTCACACTCTGGCTGGCATTTCATTCGCTTGGCATGAAACTCAATCGTTTCGTTGCACTTTCTTTTCAGTAGAATAGTGTAGGTTGGGTGGGTTGCGACGAACGGACGACATAAAGGGAGCTGAGTCACAATCACTGGAAGAATGTCTTCTTTCTACATTCAGTTTTTTGTTGTTGTATCTATGCGTCCTTCGCTGAAGCATGGCTTAGTCTTTCCGCCGTCATCGTCGATGTCGTTTTGATTTTCCTACACTTCTGCAATTTTGTATTCGAAGCTCTTCTCAGAAGTTGCGACAAGTGCAGTTTTTCTTGTTCTCGGTTTCATTTTACCCAAAGAAACCGTCCTTGTGCGAGGATGTCGTTCGTGTGTAGAAACCGATTCCGTAGTGTCAGTTTATGGTGGCTAGCTGATGAATGAAAACATCACAGATATCAGAGCTATTATTTTCCAAAAATGTGTTCAACTGGAAGATTAAGTTCAATAAAAGACCTCATTTAAGGATGATTCTAGATAATCATTACAAAAACTCCTACTTGCTTTGGTCGATTCTTTTCATCGATTTTCATTTGATGGTGATGGTTCCGAATCTATTGACTACAACATACCGAAATTAATTAACATGTCTGCTACAAAAAAAAAAAACTCTAGCAGATAAATCGGTACCTGCTCTTAGGACGACGTAGAACCGGTGGTGGGTATATAAACATCCTTGTGGTGTCTTTTAAGATGGCCTCAAAAGTTTGTTTTTACAACTGTTGTGCAGATTTTGCACTTGCCAGCAGAGGGGATTTTGTCAAAAAAAAAACTTCTAAATTTTATGCTTTCCGACCATTTAAAAAAAAAAAAACCAGGCTTTCGGGCTTCAAACAACAAATAATGGCAACCGACAACGTATTCATTTCAACGCCGAAATGTGTAGTTGCCCTGTGCCTGGACTTACAGGTGCACTCAGCAGTCAGCAAGCGTAGGGCAGGGCTGCGTTACTGTGCAATCTGTCAACGTCAACATAAAAAGAGTTGGATGATTTTATTTTCTCCTTTGGTAATTTTGGGCGTTTTGTTTTTTATACGCCTTATACGCCTTATAAAAAAAATTATACAAAACGCCTAAATCGATATTAACTTTGAATCAATTCTGTCTAAAATCGAACAGAAAATGATCGGATGAAAACAATCGATTCTGAAAAAGTCGCATCAACATCGCACATTTATACACAGTAATGTATTTCAGTAGTTCTACTGCGATCTACCGAGAACAAAAGTCGATTACGCAATTGACGAGAAGGTACATAAAATTAAGTCTTGATAATAAATAAGCCAAGTCAATGCGTTGCGAAGCGATATTGTTCGCGGAAGAGACCAAAGCATAATCCCGACGCTCTTTTAATACCTGAATGTTGATTAACAAGCAACGTGCTTCGTAAGATGACAGAGGAAATACTGTCCACCCCAATTTACGTAGTGCATATAACAAAAACTGCTTTTGGATTGACTCGATTCGTTCTTTATGACTTTTCATATAAGGTGACCAAACAACACTGCCAACATTCTAATATTGGCCTCAAATAGGCAACATAAAGTGTTTTAATTGGTTCCCAATCGCTACATAAAATAAGGCATACTGCCTGCTCTATAAATTATTATGTTATAATGATCCAGAAATGTTTATTTAGAATCTAGAATAACTTCTAAATCTCATATTTTATCACATCTTACAGCAATTTGATTACCCAATGAAATACCAATGTCTGGTTTAATTATCTTTCTACTGTACATAATAATATTACATTTTTAAACTAAAAAAAACTTGAATTTCATTCTGAAACGTATTCATATCATCGTCATTTCTTATCTCTAAAAATAGTGTCATGTCATCAGCATATATAAGCACTCAGAGTTTTCAAAACAAGAGAGATATCGTTGACGTACAAAATGAAAATAAGAGGTAATAAGTGCGAGCCCTGCGGAACTCCTGACGTTACTTGAATTGGATTTGATTTTTCTCGCTCAGTCTTACAATTTGCTGACCCTTTGTTAAATATGATTTAATTCAGGTGAGGAGTTTCATCTCAATTCCTGACCCTTTGTTAAATATGATTTAATTCAGGTGAGGAGTTTCATCTCAATTCCTATTTTTTTCTTATTTATAAATCAACAATTGAATGTCAAGTCTTTCGAACGTTTTACTGAAGTCAGTATAAAGAGCTTTCATTTGGTTTCCTCTTTCCATTGCAGTTAATGAGTAATCAACTAATTCCAAGAGGTTTGTAGTGGTTGAACGACCTTTAAAAAAGCTGTGTTGCGTATATGGTGTTTTATGTTTTATTTGGCTGAAGATATTTTTGTTTATGATTGCTTCGAAAAGTTTAGGAATGCACGAGATGATGAAAATAGCTCCTGACACAGGACTTATTTGTAATTCTTGTTGATTAATTTAACGGACATGGGTGTTTTGGAATTTACGGAAAAACTTTGTTTTAAAGCGCAGTGGAAATGTTTTGGTTATTATAGACTTAAAATGGCCTTTGATAACGCAGGTTTATACATAGTAGAAAAGTTATGTTCTGAAAATTGTCCAGTCTGTTTTTTTTTAATTGCTGATATTTAGAATCTTTTGTAGTTTCGGTTATAAAAAGGGGAATTATTCTCAATTTTCGTGAGTGGCACTAATATCCAATCTACCAAGTATACCGTAACAACGCTGACGCTAACGCTAAATTGGATTTGTTTCTTCACTTTATCTCAAATTCGGTTGGAGGAACAAGTAAATAAAAGAAATAATATTCGAGTTTTAGGAAGAACGTGTTGATCGAAAATCTATGCCATATCCTTTAATCCATATCCATCATTAATGAGGTCGCCACCGGTATCGAAATCTAGTAACAGCAAGTTTAAGAAGGACTAAATCGTAATTATTTTCTTAAATAAGGTGGCCTTGTGGCGAACGATTTTGCTTACTGAGCAGTAAATCATGGGTTCAACCCCTAGCTCTTTCATATTATAGAGTTATACTTTAAATCGGCTTTCTTTGATAATATGTTATAAAGCGTAATGAAATCCACTTCAAAGGACGTACGTACTCGAAGTAATATTTGAGTTTAAGAAAAGACGTGTTGACAGGAAACCCATATTAAATACTTCTCAAGAACAGTTGCTGCCATCGTCGGTGAGGTCATCGCCAGGATCGAACCCTTGTAACAACAAGTTGAACGGTAGCTTGATCGTGATTATTTTGTTATATAAGGAGCTCGGTGGCCTAGCGGTGACCGATTTTGTTTACTTAGCAGAAGACCGTGGCTTCAAACCCAAGCTCCTTCGTGATATTGAATCGTTAGGACATCAATTCAGCATATCGTTTACCAAAAACGAATCTTGAGCATTCCAAACCCTTTAATTTAACACCCCAATGATTTTTCGTGGAAGAGCAGAGGTGTTCTCGGCTTTCAGTAAAGCGAGTATCACATCAACATATTCCTACCTATTCATTTCTTGATCAGCATTTGAACGTTGCTGGCATTGGTATTGTATAATTTTAGATCACCATTATTTACACATTGAGGATGGTTCTAGTCCCAAGCAACATCTATCAGTTATCCGTGTAATTACAGCAGATCTGGCAATAACGGAGTTGCATCCTCGGGCGGTCAATCATGCTCATGCTCATAAAACGAAAATTATTCTCGATTTGGTGGAGTACCAGTAGAGAATTACCAATATAAACTCAGAAAATAATCGGGTTTGTTGTTGATTAGTATAAAATATATTATTAAGCCTGATATCATGCCCAACGTGGCAAGCAAGAAGATACCTGAGCAAACGGCTCCTAAGAATATGGTTGAAACACAATAGAACTGCGAGCCAAGTATTTGCGACCTATACAAGTTTTATGGAAGAGTCGTTTTTATTGCCAATTTTAGTTCTAGTGAAGTTACCGACCAATTCAGGGATGAACTCACAGTTGCACGAGCGTTTGCGTAAAACTTTATTGTTCAAGGATTGTTCTGAGATAGTCAAAAGAAGGAAAATGTTTAAACTTCAAACGACATACGATACAGAAGATTTACTTCACGCAGCTCAAATTAAACTTAATGATATTCGGCGAAAACATATCGTAAAGTGACAGAGGGATCTTCTGATGTCACTAATCAGAGAAAATTCACAGATTTTATTGCTGAGTACAGTGCGCTTGATGCGGGGGCATTAATTATGCACTTGAGTCTAAGTAAACATGACTACAACCAATTGCGAGCACAAGCCAAGGAACGAAACTGCACCCTTTACCCTGGTTATGACACAATTCTTGCAGTAAAAAAACATGCTATCCGCCGGAATTTTTTCCATATTCGAGAAACTGTAGCTGACATTTCGTTGCAAGTATTGCTAGACCACACCCGCAAACGAATTCTGGAAGTTTCAAAACTCGGCAATTTTTCTGATTTAGAATTATTGAAGGTTAAGGCAAGTATGATAACTACTATTACTAGTTGTCTATATCACAGTGCTGCACAAAATATCATCTCATCTGATATCGGATGCCAGTACAGCCATCCTGTTATCCTCATTGTGAATTGGAGATGTAAAGAAAGTTCTGCTAACACAAAGGTAACAAAAGGTAACAATTTGATACTTAACAAGCGTTCTTTCAACGATTTTAATT